AGCGCCCCTGCGCACAGCCCCGCGCCCCAGCGCGCAGCTCCGCGCCCCAGCGTCCTGATGACGGATCGATCTTTTGTCTATACGTTGGGTTGTGAATAAACGCGCTCTGGGCCTTCGTTTATCCACGATAGACGTGTCTAACAGACGCACTGCGGCCTTCTCCTAGACACCGTGACTTCAAGACGCACTAGTGGCCTTCTCTCCGACACTGTATGTAAACACGCACTAACGGCTTGTTTAAACACACGTTAAGAACATCAGTTCCCCCTCAAGATTGGCTCACCAATTCAATACTTCATTCAAGACTTAAAATATGATGAGGTACATGGGGTATTTATAGATACCAACTATCTCTAGATCTAATCTTACTAGGAGACTAATAAAATAATTAAATATTAAATCCTAAGTCTAGAAAGCAATAAAATCCTAAAGCTACCAAATAACTATTGCTTGGCTTGCACACCAAGCAAATCTAGAATGTAACACCCCTCCTTACTGTAAAATCAGAGTGCGCTAAAATTCGCAAAGTTATTTAAAATAAAACCTTTTACTTTGCGAAAACTGATTCGGGGTGCTACCTTTTGAAAATCATAACTTAACTTAGAAAACCGTTGTTTTAATTTTTAATAAAACGTCCGGTTACTGAAAACGTTAATTTTTTTATTAAAAGTTCGTCAAAGTGATGAGTTCGTCAACGAGTACGTTAAAAGTCATCAAAACATCATCACAAGTTATCAAAATATCATAAGCGGAAGCGTAAGTCATAATCATAATTATACAGTCCCAAAATATATAAATATCCTGGAGTCCCGTCACGCCACGTCACGCTCCCGGCCCGATATCCTGACCTGAAAAACATGATAAAACTGGGGAACTGTGCTCCGTGGAAACTCGTACTAATGTAAAACATTGTAAATAATAACAATATCATGAACTAAGCATGTACAACTGAACTGAATCTGATATCGGTCTGAACTCGCGACATAAGTCACGTAACTGATAACTGATCTCGTGACATAAGCCACGTAGTGACATAAGTCACATCTGAACCGAACATCTGCCGGCAAACCGGACACCATGTGCACACTCTAGTGGGCAGACTAGGGCCACTAGAACCCAGAATGGACCGGCGACCATTCCGAGCGGATACTGAATATACATACCTCGAACATGGTAGCGTAATTATAAACAATGTAGTACTTAGTCTGAGTCCCCACCTGAATGGCTGAACTGAAAGGTAGTGCTGATGCCTGCTCAAACTGAAAATAATATAAACAATTACTATTGACTATGCTCAGACTGTTAACTTAACTGATTAATTTCGTTAAGATGCTCTATTTAACTTAACATGATATTTGGACTTTATCCAGAATAACCGGAACTGACTTAACCTGAACTGATTTGGACATGATTTTTTTACTGAACTGAAATAATCCCGGAAATTAACTGAAAAATGTTAAGACATGAACCGGGCTGAACATGAACGAACCGGACTAAACTGGGGCTGAACCGGGTGAAAATGAAGCTGGACCGGTCAGCCGGTCTGAACCGGTCTGGACCGGCTGCGGTCCGACCGAACCGGTGATCGGCTAGCTCGGCCAGCAGCCTGCCGCGTGCAGC